TCTCCGACGTTCCCAGGCCCAGGTCTAAGTCCGACTCTGAATAGACGAAAGGTGTACAGCAGGAATAGAAGAAGAAGAACCCTTATATGATTCGCCCTGTTGAAGTATCTTCGTTTCTACTCTGGCCCGGTAGGAAAGAGAGGGGGCGCTTATTTTCTATTATCACATGTACATCCGCTTACTTGTTCTGCCTGGTGCTGCCACCATTTCGGCTGTTACTACAGTCTTCCTCTTCGAATAATTCACTAACCTGAATAGGGCTCTAGAGCTCTACTGGCTAGGCGTTATCAGAACAGAGTAATTCCGGCGTGTTCTTTCTCCTTGTGTGTTGCTCAAGTATTGCTTTCTCGGGGCACGAACTAGTGCGGCTCACTAACCTTAACGCTCTATCTTTAGGTCTTGGTAAACTGGAGTCATTCATCAGGAATAAGATGTTCATGTGCACCATGTGTGTGCGAAATTCTGTCGAAGTGTTTCACCACTTGACTCGTCTTTGTTTCACGCCTTGTAGCGAGTCCTGCTGTGGGAACTCCAACCTCATATCCGTAGAGCCTTGGTGTAATAGCATAGCTTCTTCAATACGATGTACTCAAATCGGCTCGGTCAATACCATTCGGAATCGTAGAAGGAAAGCTCCAAGTCGCTGAACGTGGTGTTCCGACAGTACCTCGGCCGCCGAGTCATATTTTTGCCTGCCGTTCGACCAGTATATAAACTAAGCGCCGGATTCGGTCCGAATTCTCCATTATTCTTTCCTTTCTGTTCTTCTCATGCCCTCAAATCGACGAGGAAACGCCGTTGCGTGCTGTCCAGAAAGCGGACTCCTCTTCCATGGCAAGTCCATCGCGCGCGCGTAAATCATTGCCTGCTTGCTTATTCCTCTCCAGGGCTCAGTTCACCATTGTTCTGTTTCTGCAATTAGCTGAACCGTTGACCTCACAAGTCATATACCCCTTCTTGCCACAGGTGAGTTTCACGAAAAATATTCATGGAGACACGGATTAATATATTTATTCCCGGATAGCTCATTCGCGATATTGGCGTAACTGATGGAGACGAGACGAAAGTCGGATTTTATGTCGGGTTATTAGTCAGTGGTTAACGTCGACTTCAAACCGTGATTGACTCAAAGTTACATATTACGCAATCCCTGTTCTTCCTTACTCAAGCCCTGACCGTCCTGCATTGGTCTCGCATATCTGACCGCGTTGGGCGCAAGCCAGTCATCTTGACAGGGCTATTCGGCTTGAGCATGTCCATGTATTGCTTTGGTCTATCAAAGACATTCTGGGGATTGGGTTCTCAGGTACTGTCCTTTGTTCCTTCTTCCGCTTCCATCAACAACCGAACTGATTAATTCAACTATTCATGTAAACTCTGTAGTCGGGGTTTGAACGGCGCACTCAGTAAGTCCATATGCATATGCCTTGTCACTTCATATAATCGTTCTGACGGGGGGCTTCAGATGGAAATATTTGGCGTGATAAAGAGGTTTGTGTTCTAGTTCGCGTTTTCTGATGACTCGACTTGAATATATATTCTTCTCAGCGTTATGGCCGAAATAACTGATTCAACAAACCTTGCTCAAGTGAGTCATATGTATCACATCTATCATCCTCCTGCCGAACATTCTTTCCTCAGGCATATGCCTACATGCCCATCGCCTGGTCTACAGGTGGAGTTCTAGGTCCATGGTCGGCGGGGCCCTCGCAAGACCAGCAGATCAGTTCCCGCACCTATTCGGTTCCAACCAGTTTTCTCAAAGACTACCCATACTTCCTTCCATGTGCCGTCCCCGCGACATTCAGTGCCATCGCCTGGCTGGTGACGTTTTTGTTTCTCAAAGAGACAGTGGCTACTCCCACCGTTTCGTTTCCTAGCTTGTTCAGATCGAAAAAAGATACGGGTAACTTGGATAAGCCTATTACGATTACTAACGACGACGTTACGAGTGTTACAACCGAGATTGCAGAATCCGAAAAACCCGTTGCTTTCCGTGCCCTCCTGATTCCCCGTGTCCTGTCCGCGGCCGGGAACTACGCCTCCCTCTCGCTCCTGGACATCTCCTTCCGCGCCATCCAGCCCCTTTATTTCTCTACCCCACGGAGCTCGGTGGCCTAGGCCTGCCCCCCTCCACCATCGGGAACATCATGTCGGTGTTTGGGCTCCTAAACGGGATAATGCAGGTATTCTTTTTTGCACGGGTGATGGAATATTGGGGGAGCAAGAAGACATTCGTGGTGGGGGTTGCGGCGTTTATCCCGATATTTGCGTGTTTTCCTATTTTGACGGCGTTGGTGAAGCTGAATGGAAGCGAGGGAGGGCTGGGGGTGCTTGTATGGACGGTTGTAGTGGTGCAAATCCTGTTTTCGCTGTTGATCAGCTTTTCGTACGGCTCGATATTCATCTTCATCACCGCTGCGTCGCCTAACCGTGCCTCACTTGGAGCTACGAATGGGTTGTGCCAGATGTCCGTGAGCATTTGCCGTGCTGTTGGGCCGGCGGTGAGCAATTCGTTGTTTTCGCTGTCGTTGAAGCATGGGTATATGGGTGGATTTTTGGTATATTATGTGTTACTGGGGATGGTTGGGGGGTCGTTGATGGCGACGGGGACGTTGCCTAGAGAAATACGGATGTAGTCCAGAACTACAAAAAGCGCAATAGGCGGACAAAAGGACCAGTAGGTTAGCTTATGAACAATACGAAGCATAATGAAGAATTACCAATTGCATTCCGAATGAATTCGATGATTGAATGTGATGAGTCAGCAACTACAAATACCTTATGACACATCTATGGAAGGCAGTGGCGTGGCGTTCGATTCCAACTCTCACCATCTCTACCTCTTTTTTTCGTCGGATCTCCAGAACTTCATCTCTTCAGAGTCTAATCTCTCTAAAATCTATCTTTATTTCTTTCTCTCTTTAATTCTCTCTCCTTCTCTAATTTTCCAGCAATGTCCAGCTTCGCCTCCCTAATGGCCCTCAGCGCCACGCATACCCGCGCCGCGCAAAGCCATGCTGAAGCCATCCTCGAGGACCGCAAAAAGCGCGAAGCCGAGACCCGCAAAAAGCAGCTAGAAAAAGAGAAGCGGGAAAAGGAATTAGCTGCGCGTTTGAGACTGAAGCATTTTGAAGAGCAGAAGAAGGAAGAGGAGAGGAAGAAGCGGAAAGAGGAGGAGCAGAAAGCCGCAGAGGCCGCGCTTGAGAGGAGGAAGGCCGCTGAACGGGATGCCTTGTTGTATGGACCTGGACATCGGAAAGGCGGGTCGTACAAGGGTTCTGTATCTTCCGCTTCATCTTCTTCACAACCGCGGCGGAAACCTCTTGGGGCTGCCACAGACGACGACGACGACAACGGTCCGACGGCCGAACCCCTCACTCGAGAGGAACTTCGCGAGCGGAAGCTCCAAGCAACCTTGAAACGCCAATTTACGTCCGCGAAAACGCTCGACCACGACCGGCGGGTACCAGAGACACGGCCGTAGCCTTCCTGGCGGCGCTGTCGATGTCACTACTAACGGCCTTCCGGCATCGAGTAGCTCCGGGAAGCAATCTGTTAAAGCCAGGCTGACGGCGATGCCGAATACGTTGACAAAGCTCAACACGGTGAAACGCGATACGCGGACTATTGATGAGATTTTACAGGATCGAGCAAAAGCAAAGGAGCTGAAGACGCTAGACGGAGACGATGCGCTAGCTTTTGATGATTGGTTTGGAGAGAGGAAGAAGGAAAAGTCTCGTCCTGCGTCTGCGGAGGGGACTCCTAAGCCGGTATCGCGTGCGTTGCTCTTCTTTCCGTTCACTTGCACGTCGACGTTGACATCGTCTCCTGCGTTCTTCTAGGTGCCATCGGTACTCCGCCCGTACAGTCCGTTCCGAAGAAATTACCTCCTGCATCCAACAAACCATCCAGGTCCGCGCCCATACCAAAATCGTCAGCATCCTCCTCGAGACCGCTTCCTCGTCCTACCGGCAAACCCAAAGGTTCCTCCCAACCCCATCCCTCTTCGGCCAGAAAGCGCGAACGCTCTCCCGGTGCTCCCGAGTCCCGCGCCAAACGCCGCGCCTTGTCCTCGGAGGAGCCAGACGATGGGCCTCTGGACGTTAGCGGTCTCATATGGGACATCATGGGCAAAAACCGTAGTCAATATGTCAATATGGACGTCTTTAGTGACGACGAAGATATGGAGGTAGATGCCAGCGCCCTCGAACGAGAAGAAAAACGCAGGTGTGTGCTTTTCAGACTCGTTTTCCGGTGTTATATATCTGACCTCCTTTCGTAGCGCACGTATTGCTAGGGAAGAAGAGCTCGCGGCGCTGGAGGAGGAGAAGCGGCATGAAGAGGAGAAGAGACGTCGTAGAATGCGTACTTGATATCACTCGTTTCCAATACTCCCCGCTGGTACCTCACTCACAATGTGCACTACGCCATTTTTTTAGAATATCGCTTTCTTTTTTTTCATTGGATGTAATGCGGAAGCGATGGACGATGGGACTAGTCTTAGTTCTTACTTTTCTTTTTTGTTTTCTTTGGTATCGACTTTCACATGCGCATAACTATTCGCAGCGACCGACACATTAACACTAACATACATCTACATACATACCTCTGTTTTTTTACTTATCACGTTCTTCTCCCACACGACTGTCGCATGCTTCATTAATATCTGTAAACCAATCAGTCTTGTATCTAGCTCAACTAGTATTTACTGCATTCCCCGTCAAACGGGGTTTGTTTAGCTATCCACTGTTGTATTCATTATTCATTCGATATCGATCAGGCTAGAGCTCTCTTCGTGCTTCAGCTCTGAGGTGCTCTCCTGTACCCACTCGTACTAGTATGGTTCAAGTACAGTAATGCCGGAAGGCACGTCGCCGACCCCAACAAATCTCTGTGAACATGCTTGTTTGGCATTGCTCATGACAAAATATGAAAGGAAGACCAAGAATCCGAAATCCGACAGGAACACAAAAACTATTCCAGCAATTCCCTACCAGTGGCCAACGTGGGGATCGAACCCAAGACCTTCGCGTAATACCATATTTAAATCCAATATTAGCACGACGCTCTAACCAACTGAGCTAGTCGGCCATTGTTGTTTGGACAGATATAAGTGAGTACAGATATTGAGTCAAAGAGTCAGATTATGTATTATCCTATAGTTTTTGCCTCTAGATCCCTAGATCAGTGCGCGTATCCAAGCCAATTGCGACAAATTCTACCAACTTGTGAAGATGGTAATATGGTAATGCATGGAAGAACTACAAAAAACTATGCTCAAGAGCATCTGGTGCAACATCGGAGGACCTGTGAACCGTGGAAGGCATATATTGCAAAGCCCCGCCCCCCTGTTTCTGCTGCTGCCTCAAGCTCTCGTCTACCACCAGTAAAGAAAAAAAGCTTCAGCTTCAGCTTCCCATGCGTAATCCACAGGTAAGAACGTCTATATGACCAGAAAATAAAAAACCCTTCGCGTCAACTTCACTACCTACAATGTCCGTCGGGACATAACGAAGTTGTGGCAAGGTCGTGGTCAAACGTATACCCGGGATGTTACTCAGTACATGATCTGAGTCGTTTGAGTAAATTCCAATTTACAGCGAGCGGTCGGAAGTGCACAGCGGCGGTGAGCGCACATGGATATGACTCGGACACACTTAAAGCGGAGAGATACTTGCTTTTGATACATTGAAATAGTTAAACTTTAATGGTGAGCACATAGCAAGGTACTACAACCATGGTTGGGGCTTTGAATACATTGGAACAGTGGGACTTTAGTGGTGAGCATATAGTAAGGTAGTACAACTCTGATCGGGGCTTAGAATACCTCTATTACTCTGGTACTTAGTTTGTAATGCCTGGAAATGATTCAAAATATATGTACCAGCTGAGAATATAGTACCATATGGGCGAGGGTCATACAATTCGATAGCAGGCCAACGAGCGGGTTACCAACCATTCAAACGCCATATCGGGTCCCGGAATGATGGCAATAGATTGAAATTCCTACCACCCTTTATCTTACTTTCAGCGATTTAGTGATGAGGTACATGTTAGTTCCTCTTTGTCGAGATGAAAAAAAAACGACCCATCTGCCGGAGAAGCGGTGCAGAGTCAGGTGGTATAGCCGACTTGGGAGTTGAACCCAAGACCTCCGCATTAATATTGAATTTGGCTAGGCTATATTGGGCTACCTTCAGTGGGCCAAAAAAACAAGAGGTGTTGAATCTCTGGATCTTGGATATCAATCCCACGATAAGGCGATTTCATCAATTCTCAGGCTGTCGGCTGCGCGGCTGCATAGCTATCTCTAACATGAACCTGCACTTTCGCAGATTATATTCACAACAACACAGCGCAATCATCATAGAGATACGAACTGCATAATTTTGTCCACTCTCTTTTACTTGATACTCAAGCGTGACAATCCGACAGCCCGCATAAGGGTCAAAGGTGGATTGATGGCCAAAATTGTGTTTCTAAACCTTGTTTTACAGTTGGGGACAATCAAAGTCGACAATAATTTTGCCCGAGTTTCATAGACTTAGGCCCTGTTCGGGAACCTGGGTGGGGTTAGGGACAGTCGTGGATTCCCCGGGAGGTTCCCGGGAGCGGAGTTTGAATACCATATGGATTTTGAACCATATGGATAAATCCGTACGGTTATGGTTAACCATGGTTAGTGTGCCTGTCCATCAAATACTATCTAATCTACTGATATACCAAATCCAGATAGCATGACCACCACGCAAATCGCCATACTGTTCAGACAAGCTCATTGTTTTAACCTGAGAGCTTGAGGAGACTATCAACGGAAGTAAAGTACTGTTATCATATATTATCATACCAAATTAAGAGTTTTTAGTTACGCTGGCGTACGTTGCTTCATGAACAGTGTCTCTATAGGGTAGATATATTGCAGTGGGCTGAACTGGATATAGAACTTGCTGATAAACGGCATTCAAACGGCATTTCCTGGCATGCCTTTGTACCTGTACTAATGTGTTTTGGATAAGAAAAAGGTCTCCAATAGGCTCTATCATTGAATTCAGTTAGGCGCGCTGATAGCAAGATCACCAGTGTTGTGGTTAAGACCTAAGACTTAATTAAGATTAAGGCCTTAATTTACTTCTTAATTAAGACCTAACTTCGCTGGAATTTTTAGTTAAGGGTTAGTTAGGTCTTAATAAGACATGTGATCAAGTGGCTTGCGCCCAAACAAGTCTCGAGAATATTTAACCCCTCCCCCCAACTCCACTTCCTTAGGGGACCTCGTGAGCATGACAAGCTACCCTGGTCATCTAACATCCTTTTCAGTTAATTAACCACTCAACAACTACTGATACCAATTTGCAGAGCAGAAGAATGGGTGCCAGAACACCAGCTGTGACATGTCCCATGTGCAGTATTTAGTTAACAATGGAATTGTGAGCACAAGGAAAGGACAATGAGACACTTGATGATGATGCTTTGGGTGGCTCTGGAGACAAGTACACTAGATATTAATTGTTTTTACCTAGGCCTTAATTTGCACTTAGCTTGCCATTAATTTGCCATTAATTAACCCCTCAAATTAACCTATTAAGACCTAACTTCATTTGGAGGGGTTAATTAAGGCCTTAGCCACTTATAAGCCCTTCCAATCAAAAATACTGCAGACGGTCATGGAAAAAGTTTAATGCTGCTTGCGTTGAAGCTAACTTATCATCCCTCTCCTTGTTGAGGCTAAGGATAAGCAGGTCATCATCATTTTGCCTCTTAACACACCTGAAGAAGATTGGCCATGTGTTCTGAGCTTCTTTGTGATTCATACTACTGATTTATGCATTAATTCACATTAAGAGCTGCAGAAGAGCATCGGTCACTGCAAAATCACACCATTACATATCTGGTTACGTCACTGAGCCCACCCCTCACGGTGAAATTGCGCCAGATGTCTAGGGCGAAGGGCTGATGTTTGTTTCGTGTTTGGTTTTTTGTTTACACCTATGTGTAGGAATTTGGACTGGAATATTTGCAAGTGCCTCCATGTACAAACCTGGACTGGAGTCATAATGTGTCAATATTGCATTGACTCATTTGTAGTACATAGTTACTGTGCATTGAGTCATTGACTGTGGATGACTGTGCAATGATTCTAAATGACTCATAATGACTTTACATGACTTGCCTGGAATTATAGCAAGTCAATTCCCTTATATAGTGTAGTATACAGTTGTATAGTATATAAGTACCTAGTTTTATGGAATGAGACCCTATCGGGTTGTTGACCCAGGGCTTTACCCATCTCTACCCTCTGGTGTGCTTTTGTCCCCACATTTGGAGGATGAGTGTAGCTTGTATCTGAATTTTCCCCTTTTACTTGAACAACACTATGATTATCGGTGAAGCGGCCCGCGCCCTATACATCTGGGACCGAGATTACGTAACGACGCAGTAAATCACTGCGAACATTTTCAAAAGATGACAAAATAAGAAAGTAGGAAAGTAAGAACAAAATCCGACATGATGACAAAAACTGAGCATGCAAAGCCTCCAGTGGCCAACGTGGGGATCGAACCCAAGACCTTCACGTAACACTGTATTTAAGTCAAATATTAGCACGATGCTCTAACCAACTGAGCTACTCGGCCATTCTTTACATTGACATAAGTGAGTATAAATATTGAGTCAAAAAGTTAGACATCATCCGAACGGTGTTTCTTCTGTAGTTCCTGCCTCTGGATCCCTAACTTGCCAGCGCGTATATCCAAGTCAATCGTGACGAGTTCGAGTTTAGAGCGTTCGGTTAGGTACACGCAAGGTACACATTGGTTTCTTCTTTGTTGAGATGAAGAAAAAATGACCCATCTGTGGGAGAAGCGAGGCAGAGTCAGGGGGTATGGCCAACTTGGGAATCAAACCCAAGACCTTTGCATTAATACGGAATGAATTTAGCTTTTGCCTATATTGACACGACGATCTAAACCAACTGAGCTAGTTAGCCATACCTTCAAAACCATATACCAGTTAGCACAGACTTGGCCAATGACTCGGTAAATTGCTGTTTTGAAGTCCAACCAAGAGTTCAACCTCCCCAAGTCCAACTTGTGAGTGTGGGCCATTGCGCATAGCGCGTGGCAGGTACGAGTCCTGGAAGTCACAAAATGGAGACTGTATTTTGCAGTTGTAAGTACACAGCACCAGAAGACGATGTTTGTTGCACCATGATCTGGTGAATCAAAAAACCCAAGTATCCAGTCTTTGTAGTGAGATAGACGTCTAGGGTAGTCGGATATTCAAATGCAGGCAGGAAGGCGGTGGAAAGAGAGGGGGTTCCGAGTTGCAGGAATACATCCACTGCAAGAGTATCCAATCTGGGGTGCCAGTAGAAGGAGACAAGGACCATTTGATGTGAGCTTTAGGTGGGATGGTAGACAGTTCGAAGATTTCCTTGGCCATGAGTGTAGCTGGATGCTGGGGCAGAGGCTGAGAAACCAGAGACGGGATGGAAGTTATGAGAGAGGGGTTTTAAAAACCTAAACCTAGCAGCACCGCGACGGGTGCGCATTGCAGTACTGTGTTGTTGTTGCAACCATCTTGGGGCAGTAGAGTGTGTATCTATCCCATCATCCATACCAGATACTTTGAATGGCAGCAGAAGCTACTCATATGAGAACCGCGGGTGCCAAGGATAGTGTGGTTTCAGACTGGTAGTTATGACAGAGGAGTTGTGAAGTGATCGAGGAATACTTCTATCAATTGTTGAGAACACATATAGTCCCTATTGAAGTGCCGAGGATCATTTAAGCTTAGAAAATCCTTGGAGGAGCCATGAGTTGGAATATAACTATGCCATGCACCCGTGATTCTGCAGACGGCGGAATCTCAAATCTAGTACACATGCAGAACGGAGCCAGGAACATGAGAGTAGAATCAAGGGATAAGCCGGAAAGCAAAACGCCAGGTGGTAAGAAAGACATTGCATCAAGAGTTTGCGCATCAGAGGTGTGTAGCCTGTAGCACAAACGGCGTTTAGCAAGAAAACACCAGTGAAAGAAGTAGTGGCTGACCAAAAAGACAAATGAGAAAAAGAGATACCATTCAACTTACTTACCAATGAAGGGCAGGAAAAGAAAAAAAGAACATTACACCTGCGAAGCGATTTAAGTACCAAGATGTTTGGAGCAGAGTAAGCAGGAAGTTACCTTCTGAGATGCGACGGGAAAGCGGAAATGCCAAAAACAAGGAATCCCCGACTCTGACCGAAGGGAAGGGAGGGTCTTGTCGGTGTCAAATGAGTGTTGGATTCTTCCAAAACCGCCAGATCGGGTATTTCTTTCCCACCTGATGTTCAGCCGCGATGCCGGTTCATCCATTTGGCAAGTCTTCTGATCCCGATTTGATACGGTCATCGCCTTCTCATACTAAGCTTAAGTATGTTGCTGTGCAAGTGCCGGTATAGCCGCTATTCCAGTTACGCCTAGTTACGCCCGTTGTCTTATCTCGTTCTACCTTCAGAGGTAATCTCGTACCCAGATGTACGGAAACGCGGACCGCTACGCAATAAATACAGACATAAACATCGAACAAATAAACAAACAAACAACCAGAGCGTTTCCTAAACATCTGGTGCACTTTGATCGTAAGGGGGCCGAGCAGTACATAGCCACCCTAGTGTGACAGTTTGACGCCCAGCAGCCTGCGCCTCAATGAATAGTAAACTTGCAAAATCTTGCAATTTGGACTGGCAGTGGCCATCTGTAGCTTCCTAACATGATTGCTATAGACTTTCACTCAGAGAACTATAAAAGATACTAAGAAAAACCAAATGAAATGCTCAAATTGTCACAAAAGCTCTCTGCTGTGGTATATAATTCAGAAACAAGATTATTCATGGCAAACTTGGACTACGATGTTTATACTTCTTATCATTGCCAAAAGTAAATGTCTTATCATCATTTTACCTTCATTTCCCCTCTGAAAACGTTGGAGGAGGTGCAAGTCACAGGCATGTCACTGTGGCTATGCTGTGCTCGGCCCCCTTACGGTCAGATTGCACCAGATGTCTTACGACGCAGCTCTGATGTTTGTTGTGTGTTTGTAGATTGTTTACATCTGTATTTATTGCGGCAGAGCGGTCCGCGTCGTATACATCTGGATCCGAGATTACTTCATAGGCATGCTCTCATGAGTCCAAGGCATTGTAATTGTGATAACTAATTTAAAGAGCTTGGAACAAGTGCATAAACTTGCCGATTTGTGCTATTTGCCAACTAAGTCCCAAATCTTCAAGATTTCATTCACATTTCAAGATGGTCTAGAGACAATGGCGCCAGCGTATGGAAAGCCGAACTCAATGGTTAATACAATTTGTGGTGAGTTTATTTCAGATGGGCTTACCAACTGGAATGCCAGCTCCTAATAACGGACAGACCACAAGCGTGCTGACATCCCTGATAGCCGAATGGAATATGCTCCCCTTCTGTGACCACACAAAGGCCCGGCCTTTCCCTGAGGCATCTGGGGATGCCATACGTCTGATCTTTGCTGCGAACACCTTGCTCTCAATTACAAACCTGCTGGTTCACTCATGAGTCACCGCAATGGCAGTTGTTTCAGAAGTCTTATGACTGCTATCTAATCACATCATGTGCCAAGTACCAAATCCGCTATGTTGCGATATTTAACTGATGATCCGGTATGCGGGATAGTTGCCACTATCCCGATCTTCGTGCTACGGCCATCACCTTCATTTGCTAGTAAAACCTGCATCTTGCTTTTTCCGCCTTTGTCTTACCCCGTCAACGATGGCCACTGACCTTGAGGATGTCTTTGTTAGAATCAACTTATGCTGCAGTTCGTAACTCCATACCAGTGTGGCTTCAAATGAATGAACCTCTTGTAGTTGAATTGAATTTAAAAAAATTAACCACTGCAGTTCTAAATTCAATACCTTCACGTCCGCTTGATGTTACGACAAAATCAAAGGCAATTAAGAATATTCTGGATGAATTGCCCTCAATTCTGGCCCATATGCGTCGTCTTCCTGTAGAACAAATCTATGTTGCATGTGCTAAAACTGTTATTGTGACATTTGGTACTGAAATTTCGAGAGCAATAATGAAGTCCTTTCCAAGAGAAGTAGTTGAACGTGCCAGTCATCCTTTTCTCAACGTACAATTTCTTCCTTGCTTGGTAAAGTTATTGGATGATATAGAACCTGAGACTATTGACATGCTCAAACTTTACTTCAGAATTCATTACCATGAAAAAGCTTCAGTGTATATTTCAATGTCAGATCATGGCTTTGGTTCAATGCAGTCGTTGAGCCTGAATCAACTTATTGCATGATGTATTCAGAGAGAATTTCAGTTGTTGTATTATTTGTCATTTGAATCACTTACTGATACTTACCTTAGTGAGTTAACATTCAGCAATGAAATCACTATGGACAACCTCTTTGACCATGAGGACATGGTTCTTGCAATTTTCATAGTACAAGGCTTCCCTCAATTCCTTCTCACTACAATAAGTACTCAATTGGCAGAGTTTGCCGCTACAGGAGAAGCAAAGTTAAGTAGAACTGAACATCGCCGCCTTGTGCAACTTGCCACACGGAGGGCTCAACATATTTCAAGGGCCAATGCATCTGTCAACGCAATATCAAATGCTTCAGAGGTATGGCCTCAACCTGTATCTGATGAGACAAAATTGACTTGTATTCGATCTTACTGTGAGTCAATGAAGTATATCCCTCTTGATTGCTGTGCATGTTGCGGGAGTGAAGATCGACTGAGGACAGGATCATTTAACCTTCTTGTAGACACTCCATACAGAATGTACGGTTCACATCCCATCCCACATCATTCGTCCGAGATCTTTGCCTGGATAGCTCAAATGGTGCTTGGATTCCTCCTACTGATTGGGAATGTCGTCTTGCCCTTCAAGCCGTGTTACTTTCCCGAGATGGAAAGTTGGATTCCTTAAGACTTGAATCCTACCACCTCTCAATTGGATGGCTTCTCCATGGACTCAAACCTGGCATTCATTTCGATATACATTGTGTTCGTATTCGGTTGTCTTTTCCAGAAAATGATGCAAACATAAACCTTACAGTAAGCCTGTGATCACTTTGAATCAAGCTTTGAATATTGACTGCTTAACATGTACCACAGAAAGCATTGTTCTCAAACTCAATGACTTCCTTAAATTTGGCGTTCGATAATGTACATTTTTCACGTAAGTAAGCAAATACCTTGGGCCTCATACATCCTAATACTGGTCTCATATAGCCGAGTACTTTGTAATTGCAAAAATTATACAAGACTTGCACATAACAAGCCCTAACCTCACTACACTGGTTCTACATTTACACACGCCCATTACAATTCCTGTCACTGACCTACAAGCGGTTTTCAATGACCTTGACTTTACCTTTCCAAAGTTAAGGTCATTCAGTTACTTAGGCGGTAATGTTCAGCTCAATACTTCGGGATTCCTCAGACGTCACTGGAGCTTGCGACACCTGGTATACAGCACCAATGACAGATATATTGATGATCTAAAGTCAACACTATGTCATTCACTATCCAACTTAATGCACTTCGACAGATTTACAACAACTGCCATAGAGGTGATGCAGCATTGCTCACTTCAGAAATTACAAATTTGTTACCACGATCCGTCATCCTTTGTCACTTTCTGTGCTGCTTTAAAGACGTGCCACACCATCACTTCTCTAAATTTCTACCCCACAAACGGCATATCTCTGGAAGATGTCCAGCCACTACTGGATGCTTGCATCCAACTGCAAAGCTTTGGGTGCATATTAATATGTCATAGCAATGATTTAGCAGTGAGCAACATTGAAATTTATCTTCATCAGATAAATCTAACCTTGTATAAGTCGAGCAGCATGGATTTTTATGAGCGCGTATTCAACACATTACCACAACTCAATCAACTTACAGTGTCATTCTGGCCAGGTATTCAGAGTGGTATGGC